TCTGCTAGCTTTCGAAGTCTTGAAAACTTCAAATTTGCCTCACCTTTCCATCCTCGCCGCCAGTGGCAATTTGCGCGCCGTCGGGGCTGAACTCGGCGGACAGGATGCGCTCCGAGTGGGACTGCTGCTTCAGCACGTACGTCTCGCTCTGAAAAGACAAATTTTAATTAGATGTTGGTGGTGAAATATCGTAAGTTGGATCTTTCGCTTTATCGGGGGGTGAACAACTTTTTCTAAGGATCCAATTTTCTGTTATAAATTTGGGAAATGTTTCCAAACGCTTTTTTTGCGATCCTAAACATAAAAACTCTACAACTTTTGTTAAAAGCATCGATTTTCTGCCCAAAATGTCGTCAAAAAATTGCCGAATTTTTTTTGTAGTTTTTCACATAATAATGGTTAACTTTGACAAAAACGCTAAAACAATTGAAGGTTCGTAAATTTGGGAGTACCGTAATCGAAAAAAAACCGGAATTCCGTTCTTAGAAAAGGATCGTAACCGAATCCAGAAAATTCGTCATTAGGAAAATACGGTACCGCAACCGAAAAAAAACAAATTTTTTATATTGCGTAACGCAGCAAACTACGAAAAAAAAACACGAAATTCCATGAGTAGCACACAGCCGGATCCCGCTAAAATTTAAAACACAAAAAATGTACCTGCCACTCCCAGACGACCAACTGTGCCGAGGTGCCCTTGCCGCAGCCGATGGCCAGCCAGTCGCCCGCCTTCGAGATGGCCAGCGAGGAGATGCGAATGTCGGAGACGCTGAAAAAAAGTGAAAAGTTCATAAAATGAGTTTCAAACATTCTAGGCTGCCCGTCGAACGGGTAATTCAATAATTTTTTCAGGTAACCTCATGTACAAAAATTCGGCAGCTAGCAGAGGTTCTTGGGGAAATCCAGCTAATCGGGGATCAAGGCATAGGGCGAGCTAGCGGAGATCCTTTGGGAAAACCGAAGAAAGGGGGGGCCAAACTGGCAGAGATGTTTTGGGAAGCAGGGCAGAAACCAGGGCAAGCTAGCAGGGATTCTTCGAAAAGTTCCAAGGCCTTAGAGGGTAAGCTAGCAGGGACTTTTTCGGAAATCTTGCTCATCCGGAATCAGGCTTAAGGGCGAGCTAGCAGAGAAATTTCGGGAATCCGACGCGAACGGCCGGATTAGCAGAGATTCTTTAGGAAATTCCGGCCTGCCCCTGAGAAAAGCCAACGGCAGGCTAGCAAAGATCCTTTGGGAAATTTTGAAAATCCAAAATCAGGGCATAGGGCGAGCTAGCAAAGGTTCTTCGGGAACGCCTACGAAATCGGGATCGATCCATCGGTTAGCTGTCAAGCTAAAATATCGGAAAGCTAGCAAAGAACCTTTGGGAAAACCCGAGGGCATCCTAGCAGAAACCATTTGAGGACCAAATTCCATTTTTTCCGGACAAAACGTACCGTAAGTTATGGATCAGCGACAACGACGGGGCTTCCAGAAGGACGAAGACTCCATTGGCAAATCCGGCAACGAGCAGCCCGCTCTCGCGGTGGAACGCCGCCGCCGTCACGTCCTCCATGCGGTCGAGGCCGGCCAGGTCGTGCAGTTGTGCCCTAAAAGGAACTTTGACGAAAAAAAAGGAATGCTAACGTTTTTTGGAGCACCATCAAATCCGGATTAAACCGCTTTTCATCCCTTTTTAGCACAAAAATCAGGCAACACATTTTTGCGAAGCCAAGCAGAATTTTGCCTTGTAATTAATTAAAAATCAACAAAAAAACGCCTAGAAAATTCCTAAATACCACTGTATTAATTCACATACACCAAGATCGATTAATGCCTGCCTGTTCCCATGCTTCTAGGCCTAAAAAATTTACAACACACTTTTTTAAAGATCGTTCTGTAAAATTCTGTGTTTTTTCGTGTGTATTCTGATAAAAAAAAACAAAAACCCGACGAAAAATACCCCTAAAAATCAGAGAAACCCCTTTAAAAAACAATTTTCGAGCTTCCAAAAAAAAAAAAAACAGCTCACTTGTTCGTCTTCTCGTAGGCGAGCTCGAGCGGGCGCACCTCGTCCTCCTTGTCGAGTTTGCCGTCGAGCAGGTCGCTGCCCTAGAAAATGAACAAAATAAAACATAAAAATCAAAAACTCACCGCCAGGCTGCACCGCCACGCGTTCACCAGGCCGCGCTGATCGACGCTGACCAACTAAAAGAAGAAGGTTAAATGAATTTTTACCTTACTCGTGAAATCAAAAATTTTTAGCAAAATGCAAAAAGCTCGTCCTCGGCGGGATTCGAACCCGGGTAGTTAATTTTTCAGACAAACGCACAACCGATCAGCCAGAGCCCTTTTTAAACTACCCACATCATACGAATTCTTCTGAAAATCGGCGCACACGATGCGGCCCTTGTGGGCGGCAATGTTGAAGTTGGTAAAGTTTTTCGCGTCGACGCGCGGCGCGATTCGGATCATCTTGTCCTCACCGCCGATGCAGAGGAGCCTGAAAAAAAGAGATATTAAAATCAGCTAAAAACCGAAAATTCCCAAAGAATCCCTGCTAGACTGCCCTGTAAAAAAATTTTTAGCTTGTCGTGGGGGACAATTTTTTTCGCATCAGTTTAGAAATGCCTTGTAACTTAATAGGAATGATTTTAATCATGTTTCTAGTAGAATAAAACTAAATTTTAACCATACAAACTATTTAAAAACTAAAAACCTTGAAAATTGTGCAAAAGCGGAATTTTGGTCAAAACGGCCATTTTTGGTCGCAAAAGCTAATTTTTTTGTCTTTTAATAAAAATTTGTAACGTTGGACGTTTAAGAAAAATAAAAAAATAGTTTAGAAACACTCCCGCTATTAATATTGAAAAATTTAGACCCTACGAAAAAATGACTTCCTCCCCAAAAACCTTTGCTAGCCTGCCCTCACGAACCTCGAGTCGCAGCTCCAACTGACGGAAGTGAGCGTCTCCGGCGAGAGGTGAAGGAGGCGGATGAGGTGGAACGGGCGGAACATGTTGTTCACCATGCTGCCCATCTAAAAACCCACATAAATAAATAAATAAATCAATAATTGAAATAAAATAAATAAAAAAATACAAAACCAATATTACCTGCTGAATCTGCAGCGTATTCTCCGGGGTGATGGCCAGGTAGCGTCCGCATGGCGAGAATTCGGCGATTTTCGCCAGCCTCGTCGCCTTGAACTGGTGGATGACGGCGGACGTCTCCAGGTTGACGTACAGGATCTCGCCGCCTGAAAAAGATTGCGTAATCATTTACTCGCAACCAAAAATGATAGAAAACGGCCCAAAAAGTTCAAATTTCAAAATTAATTTTAAAGAAATCAGTTTTCAATATACCATGGAAACGCTAGGAAAGCCCACAGACGTACCCTGCCAAAGAGATCCCTTTAAAACAAAAAAAATCGTAAAAAAAAACCATTTTTTAAACTGCAAAACTCAATTTTTAGCTCAAAAATCTGTCCAAAATTTATGGGAAATCGATGGAAATGACGTTAAAAAGCTTTGTTAAACCTTTGACACTTGCTATAAACCTTCGATATGCTTTCAAAATAGTGACTAAGTTCTTCTAACAATTTTGGGACCTTCTACAGTCAAATATTGATCACAAAAATGGCTAAAATTCCGTTTCTAAACACGGTTGCGCGCTAAAAGTATCGAAAGCTTGGGAAAAGTTTCCAAGCCAATTTCAGTGTTTCATTCATACGCAAGCTAAAATGAGCCTCTATTGGTATAGTTTTCGTAGATAGTTTGGCCAAAATAACCCCGATTGTTAGCTGTTTGCCTAATGCGTTTTAGCGATAAATTTATGGCGAACGACATAGCTCAGAGAAAAATAACAAAATATATTCTCCAGCTGATCGAAAAAGCCGCTAGTTAGATGGAAAATGCACCGTTTTGGCTATCAGATTTTACTGAAGATCATTTTAGTGTTTCATCTTTTCGCAAACTCAAATACGCTTTTCCTGGCACAATCTGTCTTTTATTTCCTCTTCTAAAAAACCGATTTGTCTAAAAACTCAAAAAGTCAAAAAGTTAAGGCTCAAATAACTCATTCTCTCAATGATCGACGTTAAGACACGTCATTTTCAACACCTTCTAGCCCATGTTTTCGTAAAAACTAAATTATTTCATTTCCAACGCACCCTCATCAATGACGACGAGATGCGTGCCCTCGGCGTTGAGCGTGATGTGCTGGATGGAGTGCTGGCATTTGAAGGAGATTGTGCGCGAGCAGTTGCTAAAAAGGAGATTCTATCAAAATTAAGAATCGGTATACTTTTTCAAGTCAAAGATCGAGATCTTGTTGCCGACGGGGCTGATCACCGAATAGCCGTCCGGGGAGAAGAGCACGCGCCCATTCCGGTAGACCGTGCCAATCAGGTTCGAGAACTAAAAAAAAATACACTTTTAAACGCATAGCAAGCTTTAGCATTTTTCATCATATTTGTAAAGTTTTAAAGCTTAGAATTAAGAAAAAGCCGTTTAGAAACGCTTCCAATTTCTATATGAGAAAGAGGGCTAGAAAACTCTTCCGGAAATGTTAAAAAATACAGATACTACGAAATTAAGATTCCTGATAGTTTTCAATCAGTAATTCGTCTAGAACAAGTTAGTTTCTACTTTTATTAATCAAAAATAAGCTTTAAAACAATCTAAAACAGCTTTTTACCTAATTTCTCACCTGAAAATTCGTGTCCATGCTTCTACGGGCATCAGCTGGTGGGCAGGGGACGTTTTTCGAGCTTCTAAACATCAAAATTATACTTTTACGTCTTATTTAATCAAAAATACATAGAAAAAGTATTCAAAAAGTCTAAAAACTATAAAAATCTTCAAAAAAAACCGAAAACCCCGGAATGAGCCCATGAAATTGGGCGGTGTAGTTCGTAGTCGCGGGGCGGCAGCCCAAAATTTGGGCAATGAAACGAGGTTTTTAGCTTTAAAAATTATTTTAAACTTGGTGAACTTAAAAATATAACTTTTTAAGGTATAATGGAAGCGGCGGAAGCTGATGATTTTATGCCCGGCTCGACATCCCACGAGCCCGTCGAATTGACCGAGGAAGACCGCGAAAAGTTGGCCAAACAGGAGCCGGCCACCGATTTTAAGGTTTTGTTTTGTTACCATGACGATTTAGTGTATAAAAAAGTAGTTTGAAAGAAAGAAGAGCGCTCGAAAGGATTCTATATTCTGGAAAAACTTTAAATTGGCGTTTTGGGACGTTTTTGGGCAGGTTTTGACCGTTTTTCTACTCATGATTCAAGTTTACGAGTGATAAAAAGTCAGCCAATTTTTTGGAACACACTTTTTGAACTTTGCATGATGTTATCCTGTTATTCTAGTAATTCTCATAGAAAGATTACCTGTTTTTAGAACTAGAAAAGAAGAAGAGAAGGAAAAGCGAAGCGTTTTGAAGGGTTTTCTAGACTTTAGAAAGTTTAGATAGTGCCCTAGAATTTTTTTGGACGATTTCAGCCATCTCCTTTTGACAAATTAGATTTTATTGACGCCGAAAAGTCAGCCAATCGCCTAGAACACATTTTTCGTTCGCCTAAAGTTTCCAAAAATTGCTAAGCGTCTAAATTCAATTTTTTGTTCCGAAACCGAACACAGTGTAATAATCGATTTGTTCTGAAGAGGTGTTTAATCTCGAGAAAGTTTAAATTAGGATTTCAGGACGTTTTTGGCCATTTATTACTGATATGACTTCTAGTGCTCCCAAATTGAATTTTCTGGACCAACAAAAGTCAGCGAATTTTTTGGAACACATTTTTCGAACTTTGTATACTCTTAAGCAGTAAAACTACTCAATTTACATTCAGGGTTAGCCGCAGTTTTCAGGGGGTTTTGTATGTAAAGAAAAAAATAGATTGGCTGAATTTTTAGAGTTTTTAAAAATTTACGTTATCGCTTTGCTATCTTTTTTGGTGATTAGGGAGATTAACCGCATCTTGATTAAGTTTGATGCGACACAAAAAGTCAGCCAATTGATTGGAACAGATATTTTAGTAGTTATAGACTTTTCCATCGTCTAAATGCAAAAATTCCTTCAGAAACGCAAGCTTGAAATCGAGGCGCAGGCGAATTGGGACCGCTTCTACCACCGGAACCAGGCCAACTTTTTCAAGGACAGGAATTGGAGCCCCGGGGATATGGCAAAACTTTGCGGCGAGTTGAATACCGAGGTAAATTCGTTTATATAGTTTAAAAATCGATTTTAGGACTCAATTCTCTACTTAGAGGCCGGCTGCGGCGTGGGGAATATGCTGTTTCCGATCGCCGAGGCGTATTCGCATTGGAGATTTCAGGTGGATTAAGAAAAATAAGCTTTTTGCTATATAAAACTAGCTGTTTTAAACTCGGCAAATTGCTTGAATAATTTTAACAACGTTTTTAGACTTTTAGCACGTTTTTAGCACTATAAAACCAGGCTTTACAACTTTCGCTAACAATACTTTTTAAACCTTTTAAAGTTTTTGATGTTTTGGGTGGTTTTGCGGATTTGTTTCACGCGCATTGAGGAATTAACTTTTTAGGGAAACAAGAAACCAGCCAATCCACGGAAACACGTATTTTAGTCGTGATAAGCTTTTTAGAGTACTTTTTAGAGGTTTTAAAGCGAACTTGAGTTGGGTTTTGAGTGTTTTAAAAGCTAAAAGCATTTCAAGGTTTTTTTTGCTTCATTTCACGCGCTAAAACTCTATTTTTAAGTTCTATAAATACACTAAAAAAGCTCATATACCTTTTTCAGGCCTTCGACTTTTCGAAGAACGCCGTCAAGCTGCTGGAGGAGCGCGCCAAGGAGAAAATGGTTTGTTTTAGGGTTTTTTAAGTCTTCAAAAAATAGATGTTTAGATTCCAGTCGAGACCTCCGTCGTCGACCTATCCATCCCACTTCCGGAATCCCCATTTTCCGCCCCGGCCGATGTGGCTTCGCTCATCTTTGTCATCTCGGCAATTCACCCCGAAAAGCACCGGATTGTTGCGGAAAATTTGGCTAAATTAGTCAAGGTATGTAGGGGGAGGGCTAGCGGAGATTCTTTGGGGAAATTTGGTGCTTTCGCGTTATCGGGGGTGGGAACTTTTTTCGAACAGTTTTTTCTAGTATAAATCAGGAATTGTTTCCAGCGGGTTTTTTTTACTATTCCTGTCCAAATGTTTAGTAAAACATAGAAAAATATCGATTTTTCGACAAAAATTTATAATTTTCCGGTTTAGGGATTTTTTCTGCTCGAAATACAGCTAGATCTTACCAAAAAAAAACCAAAAAAAAATGAAACTATAATTATCATTACTTAGTACAAAACTTGGCATTTTTGATGATAAAAATAATCGTTTTTCGAGCACTTTTTGAATGTTTCGGTTTTTTAGAACGTTTTTCGCTTGAAAGGTCGTTAAATTTGAATAAAAACTCGATTGAAACGCTTGATATTACGTTACTAGGCTCTTCTCGACTTCTAAGAAAAAAATGGCCCCCCGCGATAATACACAAGATCCGAAAAATTACTAATCTGTTTTAGCCGGGCGGTCTGCTCTTCATCCGCGACTACGGCGCCAACGACCACGCGATGGTGCGGTTTGGGCGCGGCGCGAAGCTGGACGAGCGCTTCTACGCGCGCCAGGACGGCACGAGGGCGTACTACTTTTTCACGGGTACGTCTATTAAACAATTGATTTTTTTTGTTATATTTTTTAACTTTTTAAAGCTATTTTTACGATTTAGAAGAGCTCCAGGCGATTTTCTCCGGCTTATTCGAGTGCCAGAAGACGGAATATCTGCATAGAAGGTCGATAAATCATCAGAAGGGCGTCGACGTGCCCCGATCATTTGTGCAGGGCTGCTTTCGGAGATTGTGATGTTGTTTTGGGTACTTTTTTTGGCTGTGATAAAGATTTCTATCAATACTCTGTGCAAAATACGTCAAAAAAATTGTTTCTGGAGTTTCCAAAGCGAAAAAAACTAATTTTTTTGTTAAGATCCAGCTTTTCTATATAAATAAAGTTTTAATGCGTTTTAAGGAGTTTAAAAAAGAGAAAAAATGAATGAGAGATTCTGCACCCTGACGTTATTAATATTCTCAAGGCATGATAGTGGAAGCGATTTCGTGAAACACATTTTTCGGCTAGAATTTTTCAAACTTTTTCTGGTTCTTTCCTAGTATCGAGGGGGGCTCCTGAGGATCCAATTTTTCTAATTTTCTAATGTAAAAGGGGAGGTGATTATAAGCTTTTTGCTTTTTTCCACAATTTGCTAACGTAAAAACCTGATGAATTGTATTAAAAATACATAAATATGGGCCTTCAATTCTCAACGCTCAAGGGAAATATTTTTTGTTGTTTTAGATGGCACTTTGTATTTATCAAAAACCCGTAGGTATAGGCTGAAAAACAAAAATATTCTCTACCCCCGCTAGCAGTCTAGTGCCCGCTGGAATAAAAACATGTTTCAAGTCCAATGCTAAAAAATTGTTTGTTTTTGTTGCTAATTTTATTCAGGAATGCGGATACAAGGTAATGCCACTTACAAGCGGTGTTTTTTAGCGATCCGGGATTTGGAGGTGGGACCAAGCCTAATTTATGCAGAATTTTACGCTGAATCAGAAGCCGTTTTCAAAAAGAAGCTGAACCTCATTTTGAAGAGCTTACGAGGTGTTTTAATCCGAAAAAGGTAAAAATACTTGAAATTTTTGAATTTTAAAAGGTCGGCGCTGTTTTTTCTCTCTTTTTCCTTTTTACAAAGTTTTTTTCTCGCGACTTGTTAAATATTTTCATCAAAAAATTTTCCTGTTTTTGAGGAGGTCCAAACAGCTTTTTGTATTTTTTAGGACGTTCAAAATCGTCTATTTTGGTCTTTTTTTGGGACTAAAACACCTCGTAACTTCTTCAAAATGGCCGTACCGTCCTTTTTGAAAACGGATTCGGAATCGGCGTAAAATTCTACACAAAATAGGCTTAGTGCTACCTCGAAACTCCACTAAAAACCACTCGTTGTGAGCAACTTGAGGTCTTGGAAAGCCTGCATAGCTTCTGCTCTAACAGTCTCCAGAACCCCTGCTAGCCTGCCCTAATTTGCATGCATTATTTGCATCCAGCTCTGCCCCAGGGCAAGACAGATCTCTAAATCAGCATTCGACGATGTTTTCCCTCTTCGTCTGGTCGTCTCTGCTTCTCGTCCCCACCGACGGCCTCTCTGCGCTAGGGAAATGTGAAGGACTCCCCAAGAAACCGCCGACGATGATCAGCAAGTTCGTCAAGTTTTGGAGGGCAGGCTAGCAGAGAAAATTTAGGATTGAGAGCCGGGCGGGCTAGCAGAGACCATTTGACCCTTTCCAGCTATCTCGACATCCTCTACACGGACACGAACCTCATCTTCGACCGCCGCTTCTACAGCTACGTGCTGCCCGCCGTGAAGTCGATGGGCGAGCCGTACACGCTGCGCATCAAGTTCACGTAAGCCACGCCCCTTTTTGGGTGGTTAGCAGAGATCATTGAGGAATCGTCGAAAATTGGTCTTTTTCAGCCGCGCCTGCTTGGGCGAGAATCTTTTCAGCGCCGACCCGGCGCGCGTGTCCGTTCCGCTGTGGGTTAATTGAATTCGCCCACTGATATTAGCTGTCACTCGCCCGTTAAACCCCTGCTGAACCTGTTGTTCAGCTTCAAAATCTACCTCTTCAACGGCGAAGACCTGGAGAATAAGGTGCAGGGGTGGACGATCGAGTTCCAGCAGAAGAACAACTACACCATCTTTTTTAAGGATGGATTTTTGGGTAAGTCTGATGCCTCACCCTCTCTCTCTCTCGCTCTCTCTCTCACACACTCTCTCTCCCGCTCTCTCTATCTCTCTCTCTCTTTCTCTTTCTGTCTCTCTCTCTTGCTCACTCTCTCTCTATCTCTCTCTGTCTCTCTCTCGCTCTCTCTCGCTCTCTCTCTCTCTCTCTTTCTCTTTCTGTCTCTCGCTCTGTCTCTCTCGCTCTCCCTCGCTCTCTCTATCACCTGCATTCCAGAATCCGATCCAGTGGAAGAGCGGACGCCCCTTTGGTCGGCCGAGACCGAAAAGTCAACATTTTTCAAGGTTTGGCTTCCAGAATATGCGGAAAAAATGGGCGGGGCTTCAGAAAGCAGCTTGCTGGTACCTTTAAGACCGCCTGTAACTGTATAGCCTAAGCCTAAGCCAAGCCTAAGCCTAAGCTTAAGCCAAGCCTAAGCCCCCCCCCCCCGCTAACAGTCCAGTACCACTACAGGTTCCCCCGGACAACCACGAGGAGCTGGTCACCAAGGAGTTCTATATTGACGTCCAGAAGAGCAAGCTGCAGATCCGCGTCGGCGACAGCCTCAGCGTGCAGACCTGCATACAGGTGGGGGGTTTTGCCGCGTCAGCGAGACGACACTTCAGATGTCGTACGACACGCGTCACAACCGCCGCTGGGCCATCCGCCGTGGACACCCACAATGCACGGCCGTCATCTCAGAGGTATGGCAGGCTAGCAGAGATCCTTTGAGGAATTCCGCTTTTTTAGCACAGCGACAACTTCCGCGTTGGCGACCACCTCCAAGACCCGAAGCCCGAGAACATGGTCCACATCAAGGCGAACACCTGGGGCAGCGAGGAGTATAGCGAGACGGCCCTCGTCGGCAGCCTTCACCTCGCCATCTGCATTACCGTCATCATGTGGGTATCAACTCAACCAGCCGGCAAATGATCTCTGCTAGCCTGACCCCTCCCCCTCTCTCTCATCCCAAATGATCTCTGCTAGCCTGCCCCCTCCCCCTCTCTCTCATCCCAAATGATCTCTGCTAGCCGCCCCCCCCCCCTCTCTCTCATCCCAAATGATCTCTGCTAGCCCGCCCCCCCCCCTCTCCCATCTCCCCCCCCCCCCCTCTCTCATCCCAAATGATCTCTGCTAGCCGCCCCCCCCCCCCCCCCCCCCCCCCCTCCCCCCTCCCCTCTCTCTCATCCCAAATGATCTCTGCTAGCCTGCCCCCTCCCCCCCCCCCCCCCCCCCCCCCCCCCCCCCCCCCCCCCCCTCTCTCTCATCCCAAATGATCTCTGCTAGCCTGCCCCTCCCCCTCTCTCTCATCCCAAATGATCTCTGGCCAGCGCGCCCCCCCCCTCTCTCATCCCAAATGATCTTTGCAAGCCCCCCCCGATAACGCAAAAGTACCGGAAATTCACTATTTTTTCCAGGGTGATCGCGGCGATCTACTTCACAATCCTGGTCTCCTCCTCGGAGATTGTCGACTTCAACGCGATCGGGCTGATGCAACGCGAACGGCAGCGCGCCATGCACCGCGAGCAAGACTTTTTGGACGCGAGCCGCCGCGCCGAGCGCCGTCGACAACATATGGCCTAGTAGTAGATGCTCTCTATCTCTCGCTGTTTTCTGCCCCTCCCCCCTCTCTCTCTCGCTCCCTAGCGCTCTCTAGCAAATTCTGTGTGATCCATATTTCTTCCTCTTCCACTAGCCCCTGACGATGTCTCTCACTGTATAGCTCTCTGTCGCTGTCTAGCTCTCTCTCTCTCTCTCGCTGTCTAGCTGTCTCTATCCCTAATTTTCTCTCTCACTCTCACGCCCGACGGCTTTTGGCGAATAAATGGATTTTGCGAGGAGATTTACATATATGCAGATGATTATCGAATTTTAAGAATTTTTGGAGCTTTTGCATTATCGGGGGGTACACTATCAATTTATAAAAATTGAAATTTGAAAAGGGTTTGGTATATTAGATACGAGCAGCTAATTTATATTTTCAACGACTGTGTGCCGTTTAATGATATATACTGTATTTTATGGTGTATTTGTAACTTTTGATCGCTCGCAAATTAAATTACAAATTTTTAGAAATTCTTAAAACTCGAAAATTTGCGCATTTTTCGTGGTTTTTCATATCTTTGGCTCAACTATTATGATTTTTCATGCCCAAAACTCCAATGCATTTTGATGAAACACACATTTTTTTGTAAAATTTATTAAATCGCACACGATTCGCACCAGGCTCTCTTTCTCATTAAACTACGAAAAACACACACATAAAAACAAAAAAAAACTTTTTCAACTCGATTTTCAAAAATGTTCGCCCCGTGCACCCCCAAAAAAGGCAGCAATTTCTCTGGGGGCCGCGTGGCATTCAAATTTCGATGGAAATTAGCGCAAAAATCGGCAAATCCTATCCGACGACCAGGGCTGAATTTTATTCAAATTAGTTCGAGTTTCTTTACTGCATTTTAGTGATTTTAAATATATAAAAAATATATCATTTTTACCGCATCTCAATTTAGGCATTACGGCACCAAAAGGGCAGCAGCGGTACCGTAATCCCATCAATAAAACGGTATATATCGATTTTTAAGATGTCTTCTTGGGGCATCTGGCAATATGCAAATTAGCATAAATTACCAGCACCCCGAAACTCGAACAAACTCAGCCCCGTTTACAGTAATGTAGCGGAAATATGGAAATAGAAAATCTATCAAAACTACGCGATTTCTAAGCAACAAAAAATCACAAAGAATATGTTTCAAAAAATTTTAAAATCCCCAAATATTTTCGGCGATTTGTGGCAGCAAATCGACTGAAAAAATCGGGCAAGAAATCAATGTCGAAAATTCGAAAATTAGGGCAATTTTGCCGCCATTTTTGTAAAAAGGGGCGTGGCCTCCGCGGTGGCAGCCGGGGGGGCGTGGCCTCGATGGTCAGGGGCTGGCGGTTTTGAGCAGCAATTTGATTATTTTGAATTATATGGCGTAATTCAATATATGGTTTTCTTGTCATGGGCAGCAACAAGAAAATCGATAAAATATCGATAAGGTATCCATTAAAGGTATGGAAAATCGATTACGGCATTAAAATCGATAAATGATGGCAAATTTCGTCTCGTGTGGTCCGTTTTAGGAAATTGTAAAGTTTGTAGTTTCTTGTAGATTTCTTCACTTGCGCGCGACTGGCCGGCGTTGCGGCAGCGCTGCGGTTGTACCTGGAAAAACGGTTTATTTGATATTAGTACCTTCAATTTAAGTTTAAAATTAAAAAGCAATTTATTAGCTCCATCGGTCTAACGATTACCATTGAATTTTATAAAATGAACAGGTACATACATGAAACATATATTTTTTACACTCGCTTCTTCAAATTGAAAAATTAGAAAATTTTACTTTCATTTTAAATTAAATTCACCAGGGTCAAATAATGCTGTTTGTAATTTACAATTTTCGGTATCTCTAAGTGCAGAAACGAAAAGATTATTGGCGGCGTGTTCAATAAAATCATGTTTCAAAAAATCACTAAATTTGAAAAGAATTTGGGGCGGTTAATGGTGCATACACAGGTAGTTATTTATCGAAGTATTTCAAGCCATATTTTGCTACGATTTAAATGTAATTCTTTCAATTAGGAATGCGTAATTTTTCATTTATCTTTTTCGAGCTAATTTCCCAGATTTTATGGATTGGAAGTGATGTTTCAAAAATTTAAAATTACGAAAAGTTGTAAAATATGTATTCTCGAAATGTTTTCAAACAATGAAATGATCTAGGTTTTTACCTTGCGAAAATACTTTGGAACGGACGGACGACCGGACGACGGCACAGAAGGCGACGAGTACGGTGGTGGACAATAGACGGAGGACAGCTGGAAATGACTCGACTGGACGGGACAATACACATAACAAATACAATTGAAATGGCATTGAATAATAAAAAAATAGAACGATCTGATTACGATTATTATTTCGTTTCACTCTTTTAGGCGATTTTTTACCCTTTTAATATTCTCCCCTCTCCCTAATTGACTTTATTTAGTCTTTTCGGTTTACTTGTTAATTTCCATTGATTGTAAGCTATTTGATTTTTAATTTTATAAGCTAAGAAAATTTTTAATGAATAATCTGTTTCATGAAAAACAGGGTTGAGTGGTTCAAATTTTTGCAGAATCATATCTGATGTCTTGAGCGAAGCAACGTTTGAAAGCAACGATATTTCGTTAGGAGTTAATAGCACGATTGCCTGGTTCGAGGGAATAACAATACTTTCTTACCGTATGAAATAGCGAGTTTGTAAATTTCCTACTATATATAAAAAAAATAGTGTTTGTGTGTGTGTGTGTATATTTGCATGCACTTCCGTTTGGATGTTCCGCACCTACAGCCTCAGGGAAGCATTTTTTCGGTAGGGAAGAAATGTCATAGGGTAAAGAAGGGGCCGGAATCGACTGCCCACACCTAAAAGTTTTGAAAAACTTCGATTTTCGCTACTAAAATTAGGTTTTTGTAAAAATCTTGGCTTCCCTCTTTGCTAGGAAGCAATTAGCATACGGCGGAAGTGGCAATGATATATAAAAAGGGAAAAGAGCGCGCGCGCTTTTCTTTTTTTGTGAGCGGTTTTCGACAAGAATTATGCAAAGTCAATAACTTCATCGATCCTAGACGGGGCCAGGGTTGAAAAGCCGCGAAGCGGTTTTTCAACCCTGGTTGAACACTAAAAATTTATAAATTATTTGCATTCTGGCCTTTCTGGACTTGGAAAAAAGCCCCCCCGCCCCCGATAATGCAAGATCCAACTAGTTAACTAATTTTGAAAATGATGTTTCATCAAATGTGCAGCCGACTCCACTAAATTTGGGCTTAATTTTCGCCCGCGATTTCCCGAACAAAAATGCAACATCGAAAATTGACTAAAAATACCGTATCCTACAGCAGCAGAGCGTTTCCGCATTTCTTGTCTTATAGGAAAAAGCCCCCCCGAGATTGCAAAAGAACCCATTAAACAGCTGGTTTTTTTTAAAAACGATGTTTCCTCAACTATTCATCCCATTTCGCAAAATTTGGGCTTATTAATTGACTGTTTTTGATGCGGAAATTCAACATATAAATATTTGAAAACTTGCCACTTAAAGCACACTAAAAATACCGTACCCTCTAGGAGCAGAGAATTTCTGCATATCTGCACTTATTTAGAAACCCTCCCCCCGATAATGCAAAAGCACCAATTAACCAGCTATTCCTTAAAAAATGATGTTTCATCAAAGGTGCAGCGAACTCGACTATATGTTGGCTTAATCAGACCGATATTTTGTGACGAAAAATGCAACATATAAAATTATAAACCCCACATTTAAAGTACATTAAAAATACCGTACGTTCTAGGAGCAGAGCATTTTCTTATTGCTAGACTTCTAGAAATAAGCCTCCCCCGTTAATGCAACAGAACCAATTTTCATCAGCTGATTTTGAAAATAATTATGTTTCAAAAAACATTCATGGAATTATGCTAAATTTTGCTTAGTCAATTGATTCCATACTGCAACGGATAAAAATGCAACATATAAAATCGAACATACACTGGTGGACATAATTTTAACGGCACCCAGATTTTTCGAAAATTCTCGATAGTGGAGTTGTTTCGAGAAAAGCTTTCTATTAAAGAAACTTGCCGTATTCCATCACAATACGGTACCCCACAACCGTTTTTCCATTCCAGGCCGAGAAATTTTTATAAGAAGATTTTCGTCAAAAAAGCACTTTGGCCGGCGGCCATAATTATAACGGCACTCCCGGAAAAAAATTCTTAAAATTCGGTAATTGATAGCAATTGGCTGAAAACGATTCGAATAACCTTTGGCTCCCCCATTTGGCTGAAACGGACGGAAGAGACCGCTCTCCAAGTCCAAATCGGGCCTCTTAAGCAACTTTTAGCCTGGCTTGTTGCGGTCGTCAGAAAACCTGTCTGTTCGAGCTCTCTACGCTCTGTTCCAAGGTTGGAAAGTGTGTCCCAAGGAGCCCCAAGCATGTTTAACCATGCTCGAGTTAAATCTGCTGGCTTGCCAAGCGGCTACTTCGCTTTCAAGCTCTTAGAATTCACCCGCGGACCGTCTGGCTCGAGTAAGCGAGGTTTGTTCCCGCTAGAAAAAATTCATTTTCCGTTTGTCCTTCTTCCGATTTCGTCTCGCATGTCGAAGAACTCCATGGCGAACTCATTACGACAAGTTGAAACAAAGCATGTGGAAAAATCGAGTCCAATTCGATCAGAGCAGCTTGACAGCGGACTAAATAAATCATCGTTATTCTAAACGAGTTTGGAAGCGCTCCAGATCGGTTCGCCGACGCGTAGAAATTGTCAGAGCAATGAATGGCACGCTTTCTCGCACCAGAAGATACCAGAAGTGGCGAAAAGCCTCCTTATTTCCAGGGAAAATTTTCATTGGGGTAGCGTCAGTGCCGGACAAGCGTTTTTCTTGACCATCCTTGTGAAGTAGCCAATTCGGGGACAATGATGAGTTCGCCATGGAGTTCTTCGACATGCGAGACGAAATCGGAAGAAGGACAAACGGAAAATGAATTTTTTTCTAGCGGGAACAAACCTCGCTTACTCGAGCCAGACGGTCCGCGGGTGAATTCTAAGAGCTTGAAAGCGAAGTAGCCGCTTGGCAAGCCAGCAGATTTAACTCGAGCATGGTTAAACATGCTTGGGGCTCCTTGGGACACACTTTCCAACCTTGGAACAGAGCGTAGAGAGCTCGAACAGACAGGTTTTCTGACGACCGCAACAAGCCAGGCTAAAAAGTTGCTTAAGAGGCCCGATTTGGACTTGGAGAGCGGTCTCTTCCGTCCGTTTCAGCCAAATGGGGGAGCCAAAGGTTATTCGAATCGTTTTCAGCCAATTGCTATCAATTACCGAATTTTAAGAATTTTTTTCCGGGAGTGCCGTTATAATTATGGCCGCCGGCCAAAGTGCTTTTTTGACGAAAATCTTCTTATAAAAATTTCTCGGCCTGGAATGGAAAAACGGTTGTGGGGTACCGTATTGTGATGGAATACGGCAAGTTTCTTTAATAGAAAGCTTTTCTCGAAACAACTCCACTATCGAGAATTTTCGAAAAATCTGGGTGCCGTTAAAATTATGTCCACCAGTGTAGAACAATTAATTACACTAAAAATACCGTACCCTCCAGGAGCAGCTTGGCCGTGGCGAGGTCTTCTCCGTATGGATTTCTGACGGTGCAGAGATACTCTCCAAAGTGCTCCTTTTCCATGTAAACGACAGAGAGGGTGGAGTCTCCATCACGAGTATCGATCGAATAGCCGCCGACTCCTGCAAGAAAATCTTATGAATGGCACTTAATAATAGACATTTTAATCCATATTTTGTATTTTCCTTAATTTATTTTTACGAGCCAAATCAAAGTTTTGTAGCTTTGGAAGATATTCAAACCGCATTACGAAATGAAAAACCTTTCGACCTTTAAATATTTCTGAAACCCATTTTTTCACCGTTCTGGCAAAGGAGTAATTTGACACCATCGCGAAGCAGTATTTTTCAATGATTTGCACCGTTCTGCGACGGGACGATCTCTTAATCGGTGGCCTCTTGCATTAACAAAATTCCTATAAAGCTCCCTTAGAAATTGGCCACACTACACTACGTTACGCTCCAAAAAACGCGGGCTTCCGAATTCGGAGATCGTTTTAGGAATTTTCCTAAAATTTAGACTTGATTAACTACGTTTTTCACAGCGCCACTACAAGAAAATACAATTTGTAAAAAAATGTGTTTCGTCAATTTTTAATGACCCCCGGCGAGCCGAATTTTTAATTGATGTTTGTTCCAAGTCTGGAAAATTATTTTGCCAAAAAATAAAGTGCCACTTTCCCTTCAAACATAGCCTACGATACGCTACGCTACGTTACGCTCCAAAAAACGTACCATCCCGAATTCGGACATCGTCGCGGAACCACGAGACGACCGGCATCGGTTTGCCCTCGAAAGAGCATTGCAGTTGGGCTTTTTGGCCGACAGCGGCCTGCATCGACACCGGATGCACCAGGAAACGCGGCTGGTTCGCCGAGGAGCCGCTTCTGCAAATTGTCATTTTTGTAAAATTTTTAAATTTGTGTAAAATATCCATAAAATTCATCGATAAAGTTAAAAAAATTGCCTGGAAACACAAATTTTTGAAATTCAAGGTGGGATGAAACGCTTTAATGTGTTTGTTAAACTTTAACTTGTTAAAAAATACACTAACTTTTGTTTCCCGTATTACTTGGGAAACAAAAATTTTTTAAATCAAGAATTTTTGAAACATTTAAATTTTGGGGTGATTTAAAGGAACGCTATTTGATAGTGCTGGGGTATTATTTAAAATCGTAATATCAATGCCAATATACAAAAACCATTAAGACTTCAATACCCAGCGAAAAAAATATGTTTCTGCACAAAGCCACATTTGGGAAACTTTGGAATAGCTTAATGCTTCTAGGGCAGTAGCACCAAAAATACCAATGCTATTTATGAAATCTAAACATAAATATATATATCTAAATATCTTCTAAAAAATATTAAAACGTACGGTGTTGGCTCGCGTACTGTCACGTCGACGGTGTGCGTCGTTTGACCGGCGTGGTTCGACGCGGTGATTCTGTATTTGCCAGCGTCACGCCTATTCGTATCAGCTATCGTCAGAATCATCGACTCGCCATCGGAATTCATCTGGAATGACGCGGAGGATTTTATTTGATTAGGAAGAATCAAGAGCCGGACTACGGAAAATCGAAAAATCTCGTACACACTCCTTCATTAAAACATTGTTTTTCTTTCTATTTCGCAGTTTTTAGCCTGCACTTAAGCTTTCTTGAATAAATTGTATATTTTTTGTTCATAAGGATTCTATATATTCATATATTTTATTTGTTTTCTCCATGCTGGTAGCTCCATTTTGGAATACTTTATAGCCCTATAGCTTATAGACGGTCGATATCCAAAATTACAAAATTGGACCCGAATTCACACTTTAAAAACCTATAAGAAAATCGTTTTGCTACTTTTGAAAAGCTAGTATCGTATCGGGGGGGTAGGGGACTGGACGTCGCACGTCATCTGGAACGAAGCGGAAACTTCGATTTTTGCAGCCATCGAAAGCTCCAGAGGGATTACGGCAAATCAAGAAATCCCTTGGCCGGTCGTGCGTTGAAACACACTTATTTTGGCTAAAATGAATATGTTCTAATTTTTTTCGCTTTTTTAGCAGAATTTGTAAAATTTGCCCGAAATCAAACCTTAAAATTTGCACAAAATTGTGTATCCAAGGTTTAAAACTAGCTGAACATTTTGAAATACATGGCGGATTAATAGGGAGTAGATCCGCGGAGATACAGAAGGTTTTTTGGAATTCCAAAGTGGTTTTGAGCCGAACCCAAACTTCCAAAATTGTTAAAAAATCGTGTTGCAAAATTTCTCCAAAATATCATGTGAAATCCGTTCCGAGTTTTTCTCTGATCTGATTGACCTTTAGCTACAAACGAGGCATTAATGGGAGGTGTATCTACAAACATTTTTTCAGTCCTTTTGCGAAACTACGAGATAACAATTGGCGGGTTTATTTTTGTTATTAGACCCGCGTAACAATGGAATTTGATAAAACCTATTTTTTCCAGAATACATACCTTGTACTTGTCGCTGTTGATGAGCTTTTCCGTGCCCTTGTGCCATTCGACGACCGGGTCGGGGTGGCCGACGATCTTAAAAACATTTTTTATATCCAAGAATTTAAGTTTGGTCCAATAGCATACCTAGATCGTTTGAAAAAAACAAAGTTTCAAAAATTGTGGATCCATTGATTTTTCCCGAATCATTAATCAATATAGAAGTCGCAATCCAATTAATTTTCTTCCAAATCAAATTTATGGCGATTCACAAAAAAATAACTTTTAAATACGGAAATCGTTTTGTTGAAAATAGATGTTTTAAAAACTACTACTTTAGCAGGCACTTTTAAAATATTTTACTCGGCACTTCGTGGAAGTTAATTGTATTTTTATTGTTTAATTGAGCCATTTTTCTATATAATTAAATGTAATTGCGATCGTCATAGTGCAAATTGATTAGTTTTTTCGCCGAAAAGGTTCATTCATTTTTGATTTTTATGAAAAAAAAGCGTTTTATGACCCAATTGGTAAAACGCGATTAGCTCAGGATTAATTACATCTTCTTCAGGGGACCAAATACTATTTAATTCCTTAACGTTAACAAAATTACCTATGATTTTAGTTGTTTATTCAATAATCATTTATTATGCAATTCTTACCTTTGCTTTGATAACCAGCGGCATTCCGAGGTCAGCGCTGAGGCTTGCAGGGGCATCCAAGATTTTCGGGGCCTGCTCGCCGGCCGGTTTCTCGTCGGAGTATACCTAAGAATATTAGATGAAATTTTATCTATATTAATATTTTAAACCAGCGCCCAAAACCCGCTTCGCGGGCCTTGGGCGCTGGAATGCGGCCTTTGCATGAAAAGTTTGACTTTCTGATAGCTCGGGTCCTGCGGACCCCCGGACCACACGCGCGAGTGCAACTGGCAAGAATGAGGAAGTTTTTTTTTCGCATTATGCAAATTAGCCTTCAGGTACCCCCAAAAATGAGTAAAACCGGCTTTAACTTTGTAAACTTGTATTTTATCGAAATTCTGAAAACGCCATCGGAAACAGAAGGGTCGATTCCCCCGGGTGACGGAGAATTGAGGCGTTTTGGACACGGGAAGGCCCTCAAATCGGGCCTCGAAAGTGACATCCACACACACACACACACACACACACACACACACACACATACACTCCAAAATTATATAAGGTAGGATAACCTCTAAACAACTGCATTAAAAACGTTAGTCTAAGTTTCCAAAGACCTAAGAATGTTTCAGTACTCATTCATAAACCCGTAAAATTTGTCTAATCACTATATTGAGGTGTACTCGTTAAATCCAATTTTCGCACAAGTGTGATTCAGCAAAGAATCTCTGCCAGCCTACCCCGTCCATTCCTCAAAGAATCTCTGCTAGCCTACCCCTCCATTCCTCAAAGAATCTCCGCTAGCCTGCCCCGTCCATTCCTCAAAGAATCTCTGCTAGCCTGCTTCGTCCATTCCTCAAAGAATCTCTGCTAGCCTGCCCCGTCCATTCCTCAAAGAATCTCTGCTAGCCTGCTTCGTCCATTCCTCAAAGAATCTCTGCTAGCCTGCCCCGTCCATTCCTCAAAGAATCTCTGCTAGCCTGCCCCGTCCATTCCTCAAAGAATCTCTGCTAGCTTACCTCCATCCTCATCTGACATCTCGCCACTCCCCATTGATTTCTGGCCTCGCAGCTGTACTGTCCGGCATCTTCTGGGAAGGCGTCTGCCACGGCTAACCGGCAGATTTTTCCGCTTTGTGAGTATCGGAATGCGGCGGAATCTGAAAGCGTTAATTTTACATAGCGTTAGGATGCTGAAAAAATTGCATTTTCCCAAACAAGTTGCAGTTCTATTAGTAAGGTGGAAAACTGGGTCGAATGCTTAGGTTTTGAAAAATTCTTAAAGCTAAACCCTTTTTAACGGATTTTCCGCAAAATCAGTTTTTTTTTGGGTTTTGGTGGCTATCGGAATGCAGCGAAATCTGGAAGGATTGATTTTACAAAGCAAGTTTACAAGTTTAAAATGGTTAAATTTTTAATTATTTTGCAACCGGATTACTGAACTGAAGGCATTAGTAACCCTGAAAACTGCCTCGTCAGGGACCTTTTTGAAACAGGCTTTTGGTACCCTTTCTCTATCATTATTCCGAGGACGGTTTTACTTCCGTAAGCTCTTGTCCTACAGTTCGAAAATTGGAAATGTATAATTTGCAAAACGTGTTACATATTTGCCAATTACGCGTGGTATAATTTAAAATAAGGCGTTCTTGAAGGTCGAATTTATTCAATTTCTATTTCTCTTTACAGCCTTTTATCTGAAAGGCGGGATTTTAAGTTTTGTAGCTGGCAGCAACTAAGAACCGGTTTCGATCATCGCACTTTATTAATTTTATCCAATTTGAAAAATGCTTCACCAAATTGCGTATCAAGGAAAGCTTTTGATGTCCCTATTTGGCGCGATTTAAGCTCATTGCACATTATTTGGCTATGCGTTCGCTGTCAAGTGCATTAAAAAGAAACGGTTATCGAATTACTACCGAATTGAATAGCTTATTAACGCATCCTCGCGGATGGCAAAGAGATGTTACATATATTTGTAAAAATTCGAGCCGTTTTTGGTCATCATTGATGTTCTGGATGATGTTTGTTCCCTATTCCTCAATCAGTCCCTATTATTCTTCAAAAATAAATACAGGTTTTGATGCTCCACATTTTCAAAACATTTTGTTTCACCAACTTATATATCAGGAAAAGAGCAAGAAATCATTAATACAAGGATTCTCGCCATGCATCATATTAGTTTTTTTTTCTATAAAAGCTCGATTTGATTAAAAAAATGACGTCTACTAATTATATAAACAAAAAGTAGCTATAATTGACGGGATAAAAAAAATACCTTCAATCTGCACACCATCCCTTAACCACTTGATCGTCAACGGCTCGGAGCCCTCGATGATCTCGGCCTCCAAGCTGCACGGCTGGCCGTCACGGACGCGGATGCGATCCTTCAGGCGCTCCGCGCGGAATAGTGGCGCCTGGCCGTCTCCCGTTTTGTGAACACCAGGGGCGACCTGGAAAAAAGTGGGTTGCAATAATTATGTCGGCACCGTTCTTTGAAAATTAAACCGTATCGAAAAAGCTACAGTCGATTTGCGTCATGAAATATCTAGCCTTAAATATGCAATTGCTTCCGCTAATCAAAATTTAAAAGTATAAAAAAACGCCAAAAATCTTATCTTGTTTTTTGAGTTTCTTAATCGAAAATTATGTTTCGAAATAAGGTTCGGCCTCGCGAGAATAGAAATTTTTAATGTGCGACGATACTGCATCATACTACAAAACCAAAAAAGTAAAGTACCTCAAACTTCATCTGCGTTTTCGCCTCCCCATTCTGGTTGCTGGCCACGCACGCGTAGCTGCCCTCGTCGGCCAGCGTCACGTGCGCAAACTGGAAAAATGAGGTCAATTTGGTTTTTTAAGGAAATTAATGATTTTTTTAATGTGTGAATGCCGAGACTCTTTGCGGAAATGGGCGTGACTTACAATTTTTTTAGAGGGGCTGGCTAACGGAGAAAATTATGTTTGTGGTTCCTAATTGACACTGGATTATTGAATCCGATTTTCGCAGGTACAGTAATTTTGATGAAACATTTTTTACACAAAAATGGTACGAAAATAAGAATTGTTAGATCCCAAATAATCTTTGCTCGCCTGCTATTTTTACAGAATACTTTTTAGAAATTTTCAATAAACGCGAACCAAGGCCCATTAAAGGAATCATATCATTATTTTCAAGGAATTGCTGTGAAACATTGAGTTCATCTGGCTTTTCAGGCCTTCTACCCTGTCACTATCCCTATAAACGTACCTTCAGCGTCGCACATTCCCCATCGTAGCTCATCAAATATCGATCGGATGGGACCAGAGCCTGACCATTCCGCATCCATGCAATGGACGGGCTCGGGAAACCGGACACGGAGCATTCTACCGTAGTCTGCTCTCCGGCTGTTCCGCGGAGAACGCCGGGGAGTACTTCGATAAATTGAGGTGCTTTCGGCTCCTTGCGCGTGCGGCGCTTCGGCGCTTCCGCGCGGATCACCTGAAAAATCAGGGTATAGCTAGCAGAGATCATTTGGGATGAGAGAGAGAGAAGGAGGGGGCAGGCTAGCAGAGATCATTTGGGATGAGAGAGAGGGGGAGGGGGCAGGCTAGCAGAGATCATTTGGGATGAGAGAGAGAGGGGGAGGAGGTAAGTTTGCAGAGATACTTTGCGGAAATCCCGTACCTCAACCTCCGAAGAGCTAGTGGCAATTCCTTCAGTGTTAGTGGCGGTACAGTTGTAGAATCCTTGGTCGTGCACGGAGACGTGGTGCACCTGAAAATTTGGCATTACAAAGTTAACTACAAAAATGACTAGTCCTGTCTCCTAAATTATTGAGGGAGTTAACCATTTTCCAGCTGATTTCTGTGAAACATTTTTTTGCAGAATTTTAGTGATGAATTATGGAAAAGCACTAGCGGACGAGATTATTGATTTAATTGGGTTCGTTGAATACAAGGAATAAAAGCCTATTACTACTAATAAAGGGTTGGGCCGGACAAGGCAAAATGTTGAAACCTGTTTTTTTCTTCAAAAATCTCGTCCTGAATATTTCTCCAGAAATAATAGCCGGTCCACGATCGGCATGAATTTTTGCAAAAATGGATGCATTCACCTAAAGTTTAAATAATTCTTCAAAAAGCATTAAATAGCATGAATTTAACGAATCAAAATTTCTCGTTCATTGCCCTGTCACATTAAAGTTTAGAAATAGCGCTCGACACTCAAAAACTTTGAAGCACATTTTTCTGCGATTTTCCCTAATAGCCCAATTACCGCCTGGTGGTATTAAAATTGCAAATTAAACGGGTATCCATATCGCCAGATAGGTAAAAATTTTGGGAAAAGAAATGCGTATCCCAGTAATATCCTAAAAACGCTGGCGCAGCGTCCAACTTTCAAAACACATTTTATCAGAAATTTGCGTCCTAGGTATTTCTCCAGATCCTAACACGTCGCCCATTAAGATGTAGAATTCAGCCCCAACAGCTCAAAATTTCGAAACACATTTTTCCTGAACTTTCTTCTCTAATACCACCCGATAAACTCTAGATAATAATCACTAGTCAAAGAACGGCATGAAATTTGTGAAAATGAACAAAATAACCCTATGTTATTAAATAACCCCTGAAATTATCAATGCTATATGAATTTTCCGTGTTAATGTCCCGCATTAACGTTTAGAAATCCCGCTTTACACCTCAAAATTTAGCGACACATATTTTTGCAACAATTTTTTTGCTACTGGTCCGAATATTACCCGATCTTTTGCAGCAGGCAGCGGGCGGAACTAAACTAAAAATATAACGCTTGCTATAACCGACGTAGCTTAAATAGGACCATAGTGAAATATTGGCAAATATTGGCAAAAAATGGCAAAGCTTGGTTAAGCGATGGTGTCAGTTATTTTTTAGAAAATTGATGATGAAAAAACGGTATCATTAGGTTTATCGACGCGTCTATTAGTACGCAATTTATTTCGACTTATAACTTAACAATCGTATAAAAAGTTTGGTCACTTGAAAACACATCAGTGGAAGAAATGCAAAATGAAGGGATGCTTTGATTAAAATTGCGAATTTGCCCCCAACAAGCAAAATTTTCGAAACATTAATATTTAAAAAAAACAACTATCCGTTTGGTCATTTTTTTACGAAAAGGCGGCCAAAAATTAAATCTATATATCGATACCTCCAGATAGTAGAAGTCTCCATCATTGTAGATCGAGAATTTGTTTCCAGTCTCCAAGACGACTCCGGCCCGGTCCCAGTATACGGTAGGCAACGGGTTCGCGGAGATTGCGCATTTTAGCCGTAGGCTTCGGCCCTCCTCCAGCTCCTTCTTGGCTTTTGGCCTAAATCAGGGATTTCAGTGGGGAAATTATAACAGGACGGGGTACATATTTATCGACATTTTTTAGTCCACATATTCGCAGTCTTCATTGTCTCAAAACCGAGGCTAATGAGCCAAAACCTTGTTGAAACACATTTTTGAAAATAATACCACGATTTAAACCGTGTGCCTTTCAGCGAGCTAAAAAATAGAATAAAAAATCTAATGCACAATCTAAATTCAATTTTTTCAGGCCGTGTAAGCTCATTAGGATCCGGGACGAATTGCCTAGAACATCGTACAATTCACCTATGAATTTGGTGAAACATATTTCTTGGGCAAAATATACCCGGTTTCGTTACCCATTTTTTAGGCAATATATTGCAAGGAGTTTTATAAAATTATAAATTCCCTCAATACAATATTTTCTAACGCGGTGATTATACTAAAAAAATGCTCGTTGCTGCTAAATTAGAAATTTAATTTTTAAGTGAGATTATAATGACTTTCAAATGCATTTGTCTTGGCTACCGTACCTTTAACGATTTTTTTAAATGCTGGGTTAAATTCAGAATTTTTCGCGCTCCAAAATAAGCAATCTAGCAATAAAAATTGGGATAAAAACGTATTTTACGCAGCTTAAAAAAAATTTCATTTTAATAGTGCTAATAAAAACTTTTCAAAGAACTTCTCGTGTTTTAAAAATGATGATTTAATTCAGAAGTTTCGCTTAAAATAAGCTAGCTTTCCAAAGAAAAAATAAGTTTTATAAAGCGTACGTAACACAAAATGAAATACGAGTTTTTTATTTATCGTACAAATTTGAAAAAGCAATTTTCTTTCTTTTCAAAAAGACATTTCCGGCCTTGAAAATTGAGATTAAACTCAGAATTTTTCGCTCTACAAAACCAGCCTATAATCGTTGAAAAATAACGCTCTATAAAACGTACTTGACAAGGAACTTTGGCCGACACGGCTTCCGGTTTCGATGTTGCACGGCTTGCCGGATATCATCCAAGCTGGACGGGGCCGAGTTGTCGGTCTCGTCCCTGCTGGATGACTGCCTTTCGAGGTGTTTCTTCTTATCATCAGCCTTCTCCATTTTCTCATGTTGTTCCTCCTGTTTCTCGGCGTCCTCGGGGAGTTCAAACGGTTGCGAGGTGGTCGGGCTCAACAGGGCTGTCGCCATGATTGACTCGGCCAACCCCTTGGCCGCGGAACGGTGCCCAGCGATGCGCTGGCGAGTTTCTAAAAATGAATATTATTATTTCAATATTTTAATTAATGTTAATATTGAAAATGTTTATAATTAAATAAATAATATAATCGATACATAAATAGCTTGAACATTTTTACACATCCGGACCAACAGGGATTAAGGCCAAAAACTGACTTTTGTTAGGAAATTACGAGAAACACGTTTTCACAAGATTTTTAGCTCGAAAAGAAATTCAGCCCGTTTCCATCACTTTTCCACTAGTAAAATTCATTAATTGGTGCTTTTGCACTATCGGGGGAGCGCACTTTTTTCCATAAGACCCATTTTTACGGTTATTAATACGAATTTTTATCTTAATGGGCTGCCGACGGCATGTGTCGATCCCGCCTCATCAACAAATTGGCAAGTAGCCAACAGGGGAGAGAGCGCGCCATGGGGAGAGGCGCAGAGACATTTTCTTTTCCGCGCTCAACCTATTGACTATGCGGTCGGCATCCCCTTAAGCGAATACAGCGATTAAGAAACCCCCGCCACTTTTATTAGGAAATTTTGACGAAACACGTTCTTCGCAAAAAATTGAGTTTCAAAGAAATTCAACCAGTTTCGGCCCGTATCTCTGCCATTAAACAGTCTTTAATTGGTACTTTTCCATTAACGGGAATTTTGGTGGGTGGTGGGTTAATGGGGGAAGCGTGTCTAAACTTTGCTACCCCTAACCATAAAAATTTCACAAATTCCGATGAAAAAGAATCGTTAATAAAAACACATAAAAATTTTTCGAATCCCAAAGTTCCAAAATTTCGAAAGAATGAGCCTATATAATTTGCAGCTCTCATTTGGTCGGTTAATTTGTATATTAAAAATACAGGGCAAATTACAGGGCTGCAATAACCTTTACACCCCGAAATCGATGCTAGTTTTCCCCCACCTTAAAAAGTTAGGAATTGAAGTGTTTAAGAAAAATTCGAGGATCACCAATGCTGTGAGAGGGTAATTCCGACGAGAGAAATCAGTCTTACTTCTCGTCAACTGGCCAGCCACAGCAGCCGACGCTCCAGCCTTCAGCTCCATATCCTCGAGGCCGTGCACAAACACCGGGGCGGCGCCCTTCTTACGCAGTTCTTGGCGCACCTAAATTTTTTATAATTTAACCAGCGGGGGAGGAGCCGCTTCGCGACTCTCCCCCGCTGGACCCCGTCTAGGCCCTATGAATCGAGCGCCCTTACACATAAAGTTACCATGAAGAACGAAAAACACATCTCCCATGCAAACCTCTTTGTATTCTCATGCGGCGCAAGCTTAAATTGCTAGTGTCGTTATTAGGCCTGCGGCGCAGGTCCTCATCCAGCGGCGCCGGCTCGAGCGGTTTGTTTCGAGATAAAGCCTGTCGCAAGCTTGAGCGGTAACCCCCTTCTTAGGCCTGCGGCGCTAGCTTCAATGGCTGTTTTTATTCGTTAGCCTGCGGCGCTAGCTTGAGCGGCTAGCTTGGTTCTAAAGCCTGCGGCGCTAGCTTGAGCGGCTAGCTTCGTTCTAAAGCCTGCGGCGCTAGCTTGAGCGGCTAGCCTCGTTCTAAAAGCCTACGGCGCTAGCTTGAGCGGCTAGCTTGGTTCTAAAGCCTGCGGCGCTAGCTTGAGCCTCCTGATCCCGCGGCGCAATTTTGAAGGGCTAGCTCACCTTGGGCCCGCGGCGCTAGCTTGGCCGGCTAACTTCCTTCCGAAGCTTGCGACGCTAGTTTTAGGGGCCGGCCTGAACCCTTTGCCCGCGGCGCTAGTTTCAGCGGCTAGCGTCGTTCCAAGCCTGCGGCGCTAGTTTGAGCAGTTAGCTTGATTCCTTCCTGCGGCGCATGCTTGAGCGGGTAGCTTCATTCTATAGGCTTCATAATAACGTCCCTACACGGAAATCTACTCCGAAACGCACTTTCCGAGCAAAAGCAAAACAACTACGATATCCGAGAATCGAACCTCCGATGGTTAGATTGGGATGGCGAAGCGTTAACCACTACACCATCAAACACTTGGGAGCACGCGCCAAACATCCCTTTTATGTCCCAAGCGATCCAGGGGAAGGAAAGGGATCGAGAGGCAGCTCCAATCGGGCAGCCAAACGCGCGAGTGCAACTGGCAAGAATGAGGAAATTTGTATTTTCTCGCATTATGCAAATTAGCCCTCAGGGACCCCCAAAAATGAATAAAACCGGCCTTAACTTTGTAAACTTGTATTTTATCGGAATTCTGAAAACGCCATCGGAAAGAGGAGGGTCGATTCCCCCGGGTGACGGAGAATTAGGGCATTTTGGACACGGGAAGGCCCTCAAATCGGGCCTCGAAAGTGACATCCACACACACACACACACATACGCGACCAAATTATATAAGGTGGGACAATGATTATTTTATTAAGAGTCATTCAATCTTATAAGGATTTCTAAAGATCGATTTTTTAAACATTTTTGATAGTTATTAAAATATTTAGATTATTTTTTACCTAAGATTCGCTCCGACTGATTTTTAATGACTCAAAATATTTGACCGGCTTTATGCAGTATATCACGTGACAACGAATCGGGCCCTGCCAGAATTATTCAACGAAAAGTTTTAATGAAACACACAATTTTAAAATTTTGTTTACAAAAATGCATGAATTATTGAAGTTTCTTGCGACCCGCATCGACCGACCCCTTGATTTTTCGATAGTTAAAAATGATAGTGAAGCTATTTTATTCAGCACCACTAATTTCTACCGATTGCTCGCCTGCTCTCAGGAATCGGGTCGGGCTGCCGATAACAATATTCGTTGTAAAATCAATTCCCTAATGATCTCGGCTAGCATGCCACTAATGAATTTTTTTTGTCAGCGGACGTACCATCCATTAAAATACCAAAAAAAAATTTTTCATCGCGACCTGGCTAAAATATATGTTTCGATTAACTAACTATTCAGCGAATTTTATGGGATTCTATTATTCCCAGTAATTTAGTCGCCTCCTCTCATCCCAAATGATCTCTGCTAGCCTGCCCCCTCCCCCTCTCTCTCATCCCAAATGATCTCTGCTAGCCTGCCCCTCCCCCTCTCTCTCATCCCAAATGATCTCTGCAGCCTGCCCCCCCCCTCTCTCATCCCAAATGATCTCGCTAGCCTGCCCCCTCCCCCTCTCTCTCATCCCAAATGATCTCTGCTAGCCTGCCCCCTCCCCTCTCTCTCATCCCAAATGATCTTTGCTAGCCTGCCCCCCCCCCCTCTCTCTCATCCCAAATGATCTCTGCTAGCCTGCCCCCTCCCCCTCTCTCTCATCCCAAATGATCTCTGCTAGCCTGCCCCCTCCCCCTCTCTCTCATCCCAAATGATCTCTGCTAGCCTGCCCCCTCCCCCTCTCTCTCATCCCAAATGATCTCTAGCCTGCCCCCTCCCCCTCTCTCTCTCATCCCAAATGATCTCTGCTAGCCTGCCCCCTCCCCTCTCTCTCATCCCAAATGATCTCTGCTAGCCTGCCCCCTCACCCTCTCTCCATCCCAAATGATCTCTGCTAGCCTGCCCCCTCCCCCTCTCTCTCATCCCAAATGATCTCTGCTAGCCTGCCCCCTCACCCTCTCTCTCATCCCAAATGATCTCTGCTAGCCTGCCCCCTCCCCCTCTCCAAAACCCAAATTGTCTCTGCCAGCTGACCTGTGAGGCGCTTCTATGATGTTTCGGTTGATCCTCTTCATCAAATGCCACTCGGGGCATAACAGATACTTCTTCTTCGACAGACGGTAGATATTCACGGAATTCTGGTGGGATGGCATGTCGGGGTTTTCCGACGTTAAGTGACGCATTTGTACGCAAGAGGCCGTGAGCGTTCGATGCCTCGACACTGTAGACGCCGAGGTCGAGAAGGGATACCTGAAAAATGGGGATAAAAGAACGTAAACTTCCACCCCGTTCCCTTCCGCGGTCCTTCAAAACGTTTTTTGGGCGCTTTGCAAAGTCATTTAATGGACTAAGCTGATTTGCTACTGGGTTTCGGAAAATTAGTTTTAATAATTTAGGTAATCAGGAACGAAGCATCTTAAAGATGAAAAAACCATGTTTTGGAAAAATCCTTTAGGATAATAACAAAAAGTGTTTCGAAAAATTTCCTACACCGCCGAAAATTCCGATCGATAATCAAACTCGAAAGATATCGAAAATGACTCAAGGTTTTCCCAAAAAAAACCCGAGGTTTCGACAACCTATATATTTTGGCTAAAACCCCATCGACAATTTTAGGTGGTAATAAAACTGACACAAATTTGTTAAAAAATCGCTATAAGCGACGTTTGGGAAAATTTATTCTCTGATCTTCGAAGAATTTTATATTAGGAGGTGAATAAACGCGTAAAAGAATGGCAATAATGCGGAAAATCGAAAAAAAAATCGGTGTTGTAAAAAATTTGGTAATCTCGCTAAAAATTACGATCGATACTGCGGGTTTGCAAGAAATCTAACTTTATCATAAAATGGTTAAAAATCGATGTTACGACAAATGTCATACTAAGGCCAAAAATAGCCATCGATAATCCGTTCGAGCAGCAAAGAAAACTCCTCCCAAAATCATCGTTAAAAAATAAATGGTTGACCAAATTGAGACTCGGCGCTTAAAAAAAATATTCTAGTTTGTGTTCTACTTGTTTGGCGCTTCAAAAATATTCATAATTCAGTGGCGCAAACAATCATAAAAATAAAAAATGTAAAATCTTAAAAAAGCTTCGACAAATTACATACTGTCGCTAAAATTCCCTACTATGTTTAGCCCCAGAACGGAATAATCCCTTGCAAAAACCGTTAAAAATCAATGTTTCGGCAAAGGCCTAAACCCTGCCAAAAAAGTTTGAGAATAATTAGTAGTCTTCGTAAAAAAAATAAAAATCACCTTCTTGATGCGCAGCTCGCACTTGTTGTCGCTGACGTACTTGATCTGCACGTCGCGGCCCTCGCGTACCAGGTTGTCGTTGTGTAGCCATCTGGAAAATGGGACTTTTTAACGCTAGCTATTGTTTATTCGGTTTTGCCTAATTACGCCCAATTAATCAAAATAATTGCAGTTCGGTGCAAATTTCTTTGAAACATTTTTTTATGACAAAAAATACCTAGCAGCCGTATATTAAATCTTTCAAATGATTTCTGCTAGCCTGCCCCCTCCCCCTCTCTCTCATCCCAAATGATCTCTGCTAGCCTGCCCCCTCCCCCTCTCTCTCATCCCAAATGATCTCTGCTAGCCTGCCCCCCCCCCTCTCTCTCATCCCAAATGATCTCTGCTAGCCTGCCCCCCCCCCCCCTCTCTCATCCCAAATGATCTCTGCTAGCCTGCCCCCTCCCCTCTCTCTCATCCCAAATGATCTTTGCTAGCCTGCCCCCCCCCCCCTCATCCCAAATGATCTCTGCTAGCCTGCCCCCCCCCCCCTCCATCCCAAATGATCTTTGCTAGCCTGCCCCCTCCCCCTCTCTCTCATCCCAAATGATCTCTGCTAGCCTGCCTGCCTTCGCAAAGTGATTGTCGCTCGCGCCCACACAACATTACTAACCCCAACAGTTTTGACGACTGAAAAGTATCCTTTTATAGATTTTTCCTCAATGCTCTCCGCTATCTTGCCCACCTCAATTCCGGCAGCGGGAATCCAGCCGTTTCCACTTCGAATACAATCTCTTGTCCGAGCGGTGTCCAGACATCCCTCAGACATTTGATGAAACGCGGTGGCCCAGCCGGTCTATCGTGTAGTTCTCCGACCAACAAATAGCATTGTGTTGACGATTCGCCGTATCGATTGGACGCTACGCATTGATACGTGCCCTGCTGGTTACGGTATACGCGTTCGCATTTCAGCTCCGCCTGGTCACCGCCCGAGCACTCGATCCAGCCTGAAAGCATGGTATTTTTTCATACCTTTTCTAAATTTCAATTTAAATTTGGAGTATTTCAATTTAAATTTAATTAAAAGACAATTTTTTCACTTTTTAATCGGCTTATGATTCTATATTGGTACTGGATTGTTAACGGGGGGCAGAATTTTTTGTTTGCTGCGCTGATGAGCTAAATCGACCAAAAGAGAGCGCCAATTATATACCACAAATTGGTCCGAAATAGGCAAATACTTGAAACATATTTTTTCCTCGGAAATTTGCAGATTCGTTGTTTGAGGTCAAAATTCTCCCTTTCTAATTTTCCAGTCGTTTTGCATACGGTAATGTGCAAATTTCATTAATTTTTTAACATTTTTGTCTTTCAACCCCATTTTAAATGCTTTGTAATTATATACGTTTTGGAATATGCATGGAGGCCAGAATCACGAGAGGCGAATTCCGCTGAAATAGCTAGGAGCTTGAAACATTTTTTAATAAAAATGAGGTCGATCTTGTTCTGAAAAAAGCTGCGATAACTGTATCGAATTAGTCGACAAGCAGCGATTGCTGAAACTGCTAAAAATTGGCACGATATTTACGAACGTTCGAAACATTTTTTGGCAATTTTCTTCAGAAACTTTTCGAAACTTATTAATCATCGCATCCGCCGTCCTAAATAGGATATTATGTTTAATTCTAGCATTATCGCGTTTTTAAACAATTTTAATTATTTAATTTTTGCCCTTTTTCAGAAATATTGATGACCAGGCTGCTCAGCTTATTAAAAAATCTAAAACGCAAAGAAATCGTCACCGGCGTGAAACCTTTTTTTTTTGATAGTAACGATATATTTATTTTAAGAAACGTAATACATTCTTTAATAATTAATTAAAGTATTACCCGTGGGGACGTGGTTGAGGCAGATGCGTCGCATGTTGTCGTCTTGGAAGTACCACTTGATCTCCGGCTCGGGGACACCTGGAAATGGAATTTTAGCTCTTTTATTTATGGGAGTGTGAATAATTATTGTCAGACCGCCACCTTGGTGTACTAACTTTTTTGAAACTTTTCATTTTTAAAATTTTGCCACAAATTTGGTGCTTTCGTTTCTATTCGAATGTAATAATTAATCATCTATAAATATTGATTTTCATAAATCTGGATTGCGTTCAATTAATTATATGATACCAGAATGCACAACACATTATCTAAAAAAATCTCTCGCTTTTGGCGATTTTTGATGAAACATTTTTCGGGTTATCCGTTTTTCTCGGTTTTATGGGTTTACTAGTCGAAAATTTCCGATTATTTTATATTTAAATCCCCCCCCCCTTTTTTTTTTCTAGAAAATAGTAGAGCAAGCTAAATTTATAAAATTACAAACTACAGACTACAAAACGTTCCGCTACCTTTCACTTTGCAGTTGAGGGTGCACGGGTGGCCGGAAACGACGCCCATATCCCGCATCGGCGTCAAAAACACGGGCGCGCAGTTTTCGATGATTTTCGCCGTGCCGCGCTGCACGATCACCTGAAAAAATAAATATGTTTGATCAATAAATAATAATTACGTAATGACGTGGTTGGTATTGATAGCATAAATTAGGGACAGGGGGTTTGTGATCCACTAACGCCAAAATGCAACCCAATTTTTAGGTTTTGGACGAAACATTTTTTTTGCAAGCTGAATTTAATCTACTAATAACCACGTAATCTTTTGTATTTATGGTAAGGACTTATTAAAAATGGCTGAAACTATATCATTGCCATTTTTCATTCTATTTTACGTGCGTCTTTTTCGGCCGGATCAACCCCTGAATTCAGCCTGGTTTAGCATTTTTTGGCGAAACATGCAAGCGCATCTTATAGTGATTTTTATGTTACCCGAAATTCGATAAAATACGCTACTGGACGAGATAAACCCGAAAACGGTTAATTAAACGATAATAAAAATGAAGGATTTAAGTTTTTGGTGTACATCAAAAACACAAAAACGGTATTGATCATCGAATTCGAGGAACATCCTGCTATTCACATGAAACATTTTTCGTACAATTTTTTTAAGGGTTTTTACGTTCATATTGGCCTACTGTAGTGCAACGGTGCTTTTAAGATGCCTTTTATCTTTTTAATTATTTTCTGATAGAAAGAGTTTCGTAAAAATTCTGATTTTGCATTTTTTTGATGATTTAATAGAGGAAAAAATGCTTGTTTTTCGATTAACACAGCGTATTAAATGCTAACCTGTATCTTTATTATATTTTATACCCTTAAGTTTACTATGGTTCATATATTTTAGCTCGTTCAATAAAATGTTTCGAAAAGTTTCGGAGTTATCGGTTGTGAAGGTAACTTAATTTATTCTGGGTTTTCGTTTTTTCAGACCTTGACTCCAAAAAAGTGCAGTATTTTAGTTATTAAACAAAAAATTAAAATTATTAAAATATTTACATACCTGGGTCTCGACAACGGTCTGTCCCTCCGAATTCTCGGCTATGCACTGGAAAATGCCGGACGTCTTCTGGACGACGAAATCGATTTGCAGATGGGCCTCGAATTCGCCGGTGATGTAGTGTTGGTACATTCTGTTAGTGCGCGAAATGTCTTTTCCATCCTTTTTCCACGTGATACGCGGCTGGGGCTCGCCGATTGCCTGAAAAAAAAATAACGATTTTTTTACATTTAAAACGGGGTTTTGATTTTTAAATCTAAGGCAAACTAGATTTAAAATTCAAATTCAGCAATTAATAGTCTTTTTGACATTTTTAGGACGCGTGAAAGCTAGTATCGTCTAAAGAGCGCCTTAGAAAATATGAAAAGCCAAAAATTATTGTGAAAGAAAAACGGTGTTCCACCAAAATTAATTGTCGCTTTACGTGGAATTTTCGTAATAGAAGATCCATAGAAGTGATCATGCAATTAAAGGCTTTGAAGGCCCAAAAGCCAACAAATCAATTTTAAAGGGCCGTTGAAGTCAAAATTTAATTTGAAAAAGACCCTAACTGACATTGCAAAAATTTCATAGGGGAAAGAAGTGATTTTTTTAACATTTCTGTGATTACGGTATTTTGACAATTTCAAGGTAAGCCAAGAATCGAATTTGCAGGACCATTCAAGCAAATAAAAAACTGGTTGAATGGCTTTTTGAAGCCAAAAGTCAGTTTTAAAGGACCGTTGAAGCCGAAAACACGTTTTAAAGGACCATTGAATCCAAATCCATACCTTAGCGACCAACATAACCGTCGACCCCTCGGCCGCATCGATTAGCGAAGCCGGGGCCCGAATGAATTTCGGTGGCACCCGCTTATCGCTCAGAACATCGGCCAGCACGAGATGAGCATCAGGTCCGGTCGGCTCAGCAACAAACACCAGGCACTGGCTCGACTCGACGCCGAACTTGTTGGAGGCGGTGCACAGGTACACGCCCGTGTCCTCCTCCGACATGTCGGCGATCGTCAGCGTGCACACGCCGTTCTCCCCGAATTGCAGGCGCTGGCGTCTGAAAATGTAAATTTTTTGAAATTTTGTAGTATGAAAATCGCATTTTTTCTCAAAATCACACCTGGATTATTTAGCGACATATTATATCCCCGCAAAACAAAACGCAATGCCGAAAAATTAGAAACATTCGAATTTTGCCGAAGGGTTTTCGGTAATTTTTCAAATTTTTTACGACACAAATTTCTGTTTTTGGAATTATTTTCGAACTAAAATTGCATTTTTTTTATCTCGAAATCTCAAATGGGCCGCATTGACGAACAATTGTATCTCGCGAAACAAAGCGGATTGCGCAAAAATTAGAAACATTTCAATTTTGCCGCAGGGCTACCATATACATTTTTTCAAGAATTCGGATAATAATTTTATTTTTAATTTAATATTTCGGCCTAAAATTAGCTTAGGTTCATCAAGACCTGCCATTATAGAAGATATAATTTGCACAAATTATGCAAAAATTCGAAACGCTGAGTACTGGCGAAGCGGTATTAAGGCGGACCAATTACAACGATTTCGGCAAAAATCAAGAACATTATTTTTTTGGGGAACGTTTTTATTTAATTGATTCGTAAATTTAATTATTAAAGTTATAATATTTATGCATATTTGATATTTTATATGCTGTATAAACTTTTCTATTATCAATTCACCTCCGTTTTCGCGTCACTTTGCAATATTATGGTTTTCGATACTGTGGCAGCCAAATTATATCTCCCAAATTACGTCGGATTAGGAAAAATACAGAAACATTTAATTTGGTCAAGCCATCAGTCCATTTGGGGAAAAATAGGACCCGATTGCTGTTAAAACACGTCGTAATCAGGGAAATTCCTCGTATTCCCTGATTAAAAAAATACAAACTACGGGGAAGTCCGAAAGCTTTCGAAAGCTTCCATGTTACTGCGAACTGGCATAATGTAAAAAATGTTGCAAAAATCCGGTGTCGAAAAATATGGTTCAAAAGGAGATGGATTTCAGAAAGAAATGAAATTTTCAATACAGGGTGTCCCAAAAACACCCCTCTAGCGGCGAGTCGTCCGATTTTTATCGTTTAGGATCTATCGAAAGCTCTTGAAAGGCGAGAAACATGCAGGGTTCATTTTCTTTATTTCTATTTTTATTTGCAGATTTTACGTCCAAAACCATGCGGCAGATTTACGCGAAATCTGCATGCTGATCGCGAAATTCCTATTGAAATCTACCTGTTTTTAGAAACGTTGAATATCCAGCGTATAAAAATAAATCTCATAAATAATCCCGCTTGTTTTCTCGCCTTTCCGAGAGCTTCGATGGTATAATCATCCCGATCTGGCTCCCCGGACCGCTAGAGGGGTGCTTTTGGCCCTTGCCTCGGGCTGCCTTTATGCCCATACCGTGATTTAGTGATAAGGGTACGAGCGACAAATTGGATTGCGATTTCCGGATTGGAAGGCGAATTACTGAGTCACTAGTAAATTTAAAAAAACCAGGGTGGATCATCAGCTACCGATAGAAAAAAGTATGTTTTGACTATTGTGGCATGTGACGAAAAATATGACGTTGCAATTCTTTGTCTGGTTTGATCGTTACCATGTCACATTGTATTGACGCTGTTCTCAGAAATCGATAGTGTGGTTATCGCAAGAAATTCAGGAGAAAATAAATTTGTTTTACAGAAGTTCCAACTTCGATAAATGCTGAATACCTCAATCCGCAAGTTTTATGCGACAACCTACTTTTTACAATATAACAAAATCCGACTCAAACTGTCTAAAACATTGAAACTACTTACAGCTAAATATGTTTTAACTAATGTTGGACCGGAGGAACAATGCTAAATTTCAATGAATTTGTCGAAGTTTGTGTAACTCTACAATAACCAAAGGAGGTAACCAAGGTGTTCTCAGCAATAGAGCGTACTTGTTAGTGTTTGACATTCGGGAGGAGAAAAAAAATGTGTTTTTCACATTAGCGCAACTCCCCGATAAAAAATTCTTCAATGGTGTGTCGGGCTGTCTTACAAAAATCGTCAAATTGTCAAAAAAAAGAGATTTCATAAATTTATAAATCTCTAAGGTAATTCAAATTTTTAATGGCGTTCGAAGCTTTACGACATAATAAGGATTTAATGATAGTTTTACCGTACCTGGATGTATTGATGCGAATTCCATCCTTCATCCAGAGTACCGTCGGCTCGGGGTGGCCGGAAATTCGGCATTTCAGGGTGATTTCATGGCCGGATAGGGCGGTCTTATCGACCAATCCGGATTCAAATCGGGGTGCGTGCTGCTCCTCGGCGTCGTGGACGTCTACGCGACACTCCGACACGGCGACGCCAACCTGAAAAATTTTATAAAATTCGATATTGAATTCTTATTTATTGAATTTAACAATTAATAAAAATTCTGCTTTTTCAGTGATTAATTCAATAAAGCTTATCAAAAAATGTATTTAAAATTTAACTTTTTTTAAATGAAGTATCGTGAATTGCCAAAACCAATCGACGACTATACTTCCGCTATGGATACCGATTTTTATTGCCCGAACATCAACTTTTGCTTTAAAATTCCAAAATTTAATTACCAAAAGAGTATATACCATTTAATAGATTTATTATTTAAAATTAGGCAATGAAATACTATACAAAAATTACTAAAAAAATCATAGTAATTTTTAACGACGTTTTGCGAATTTTTTACAACGTTCCTGAAAGCATTATCTGAAAATTGGGGGCGTCAATGGATGCAAAATTGTGAATCATCAAAATACTTAAATTTCCTTACTATTAATTAACAAAACACGCAATTTATTACAATTCTTCTACGAAATTGATGGATGCAAAAACGTAAAAAGTTTCGACAAATGCGCTAAAATCCTAGTATTACTTTATGCATGGTTCATGTACGACACGCAAATGTAATTATGCGATAAAGTAGTTGCGGAAATTGGCAATGTCATGAAACATCACAAAAAATTACAAATATTTAAACTACAGATTCTCGTTTTATGGTAATTCCACGTCTCCCATAGTTTGGTATAATTTTCATATATTAACTGTATTTGACGCATGCCCAAACCTCATTCTCCACGACACATCTGTAGACACCGGCATCGGTGGCCTGGGCCGAGTGGCAGATCAGACGGTGCAGACCGCAGGCCGAGATCTTCTCGTAGCGGCCGGCAGCCGGGAGCCGTTCGTTGTCTAAAACAATAAAAAGAATTAGTATAAAAATCATGTAAAAATAATAATAATTGACATAATATTAAAACTTTCGAGGAACTTTCTTTTGAAAAAAAGAATGCTTGACCGAATAGGCATAAAAATTTTTCAATTTCAGTGTTAATGGGGGAAAGGCATTAGCTCGAGAAAAAAAATACAATAAAAAGCTGGTTGTTTATCAGATGCCGTTGACTATAGGATCTTAGTTTAAATAGCTCATAACAATCAGATATTCTAAGTAATAGAAATTTCTATAACAAATTATTAAGAAAATCAGGTTTCGTCAAAAAATTTTTATTGAGATAATGAAACGGTTTCTTCAAAAAAACCTTAGCTTTTTGAAATAAAGTAAAAGTAAAGGAATCTTATAAAACTATATGAGAAAATAGGGGGCAATATTCATAGATTTAAAAACTTTTACTCTATCGACAAAAAAAGAATGTTTGGTAAGAAATCCGTTAGTCTTTTACAATTTATGGTGTTAATGTATGTAAATCAGTTTTTCGGAAACCAAGAAAATTGATGATTTTATCCACATTAATTTAGATTTGCCATTCTAGCCACCATATTTGCTGGCGTACCTTTAAACCACGAAACATCTCCCTGGGGCTGGGCGGTGATCTTGCACGCCAGACTGAACGTCTGGCCGGCCGTGACGGTCTCGTTGTTCAGCTCCTTGCCGACCATTGGCGGGCCCTCCCGAGTTTTTCGCGTCATCAGTGGGCTCTCTGGAAAGTAGGCTATACCGTAGCTTGGATTACATTTCGTCGTTACTCGCAGTAAATAGTGCAAACGCAATGTTCAAAATAAATTCCCCCATCACTAATTTTTTAGGTCAAACATATTTTTAAAAGCCGCAATTTTTGGAAAAATAATCGGCCTAATGGATTTAACAATAAAATTTTGCCATCCAAATAGAATTTTTAGATGTTTAGCTCCGCCGAGTTTTTTTTTATGGATCATCGATGCAACGTGAATATTCGAAATATATCTGTTCAAGTCTGTGAGGAAAATGAAACATGTGGCCCAGAAAATGCCTGATTCTAGCCTTAGTGAGCGACCATAATTCACAACTCGAAAGAACTAAAAAAAGGTGTCGAAAGTTCTGTACAAAGTACAGGACTTACGAGATTTATTCGCATTGGGGGACCCCGGGGGTGGCTTGCTATCCCGCGCCCCTCTCTCCCGCCGCCTACGGTAGGGGGGAGCCCAAGAGGGCGCCGATTTATTGCCAATTTACCGCCAACTTCTTCCCGAAAGGGAGTCGTTGCCGCCAGTCGTTGCACCGATTGGTTTGGTTATTTCGGTAAGGTTGTTGGCTAATGCCACTTCCTGTGCATGATTGGTTAGGCTTGAATACTCTTCCAACCAGCCCTCTCTTTTCCCATTGAGCTCTAATCGTTCCTCTTTTACTCCCAGTGTTTACCCTTGGATCTCGTGTTTATACATTCAGTGCTGCCTCTTTCTATATACTAATAAACCTTTTCCTATCTACAAGTCTCTTATCGGTGGTAATCGCATGGGATCTTATTCATGGTCTGTAGGGTCTTCTCAGAGGCCTAAATTAGTCTTACAGACCTCCGCTGATCCGGCTACCCGTGTTAGGGGATGCGTTGAGGGTCGTAGGAGGAATAGGTGGCAAATTCCTCGCGTGGGCATTATTGGGATTTATTCCTAATAGTGCGGAATTGCTATTCCTTTTCGACATGGTGCGTCGGCCGTATGAGATAGAACCCAGGTCGAGATCCCTTGCTTTTACTGCTTTCCACTTTTCACTTTTTGTTTTGGTTTATTTGTTTTCCTTTCTCTAATTTTTTAGAGTTTTACATACAGACAAGGCAGCACTACGAAACCATTGGTTTCCCAGATCAGCACTTTAATTGTCAACTAGAAGGCAATTTTTCCAGTCCAACGGAACCCAGAAGAAATGGATCAACGACCAGTCGGCGGCCACCGGCGACTTTCAGCCCCGAGGCACTCCGTTACTCCAATGGGCACTGGCACTATTGACGCTCGGGCGCACACTGGCCATCAGCATATGGCCGGGTGTTTACATTAAGCGGTAACGAGTCTGTGGATAAACAGCTCTACGCGGTGTTACAGCCAGAGGAGTAGCGGAGGAAAGGAGGATCGTTTTTACTTTTTTTCCAGGAATTGCTGCATCGAAGAAATCCAATTGGCCCAGCTACAAGATCCACCAGCGGGACGCCGCTCAGTAACACACGGATGAATTGAAGAAACAAACAGAGCGCAAGAAAGAAGAGACGATGTCTGAAAACAGAAGAGTTTTCACAGTCTTCCCTCCAGGCCCTTGAATGGGTGTTTCCAGTCCTCCTGTTCCGGATTTCACAACCAGTCTCTGCAACTTCTTTTTTAGGCGGTCAACATTCTCAAGAAAGAAGCAGTTGCGGTCGTTTCTTCGCTGGTCAATTCTTGCTGATGGAGTTGCTCGCTGCCCCGTGCTATGCGCATAGCCAGAGGACGTTACGCCCGTGCAGCCCCGCTCAGGAATGCAAACAGGTTTGGGTTTACGATTTTTCGGAAGATTACTTCTATCATTGACTGTTTACAGTTTTTGATATGTAGTAGTCGGAAGAAAGTCGTTTTCCCTTTTTGTTTCTTGACCCAGCCCAGGAACCACGAAGCGTCGGCATACAAACAGATCTTCCTGAGATGATTGTTGTTGAAGACGCCGGCCATCCGTTCAAGATTCGCACAGTACACACATCACAAACAGTTCTCGAACTGTCCAGCACTACAGACTTTCAATTTCTAGTTCCTTCCGAACTACAGCCGCTTGGAAATTACACTCAGATTCTTCAAATGGTTGTTTTGAACGGCTTTTCACAGGTGGATGGATGAGTATGCTGCCCTACGCATTTCTATCGCGTTTTGGGTAGCTTGAATCCGTATAAATTGAAGGATTTTCTTTGGTCGGCCTGTACGTACAATCCAATTGACGGTGCGATGCGTGCGCGTCGCGGTTACCTATTTTTGGCCTAAACCATTGAATTTTCATCGATTTTTACGCGATTCTCTCATTTTCTTTTCGTGTTGCAATTCGTTTCTGAAATGCTTCACGCATCCATTTGTGAATTGTTCTCATTTCATTCATTGTTGAATTATGTTGGCCTTGCTAACATCAGGACGTACTACTGCTTACGCTGCTTTCACTCTGCGAGTTTACTTTCCAGTTGCTTCGATGTCTTCGAGGGCCTTTTGGCCTTGTTACAGCCAAGATTCATTTTGCTTTTAGGTAATCCAACGCGTGAAGCAAGATGAACCACAAGGACATCCAACCCGCTGAAGCACGCCGTATTGTGGACGAATGGGAAGAGATGCGCCCCGTCGTGGACAATCTGCTCATCGACCAGGCCCAGCTCGCCGCGTTTCCGGACGCGACCCTCTCCCAATACATCGAAGACATTACCTCCAGCACAAGCAAGATACAGACATACATTGCCAAGTTAACACTGGCCACAGAAAAGAGTAAACATTATCCAGAGTTTCAGAAAGCAGTTTTGCAGCTTCCAATACAGAACACCATCGTCAACCTCAACCAGTACGCCTTGAAGTTAAACAAGTGTCTCGCAGCGGCCGGTGCCCGCTCAAGACTTTGTCAACAAACCACCCAGCTTTGGCAACTGGAGCGGCGCCTTACTCCGTCTCAAACACAGCACACCTTCGAGAAGCCTAGTAATCACCAGGCCTGCGATAGAGCTGCGGAAATAAAAACAGCCCACCAACACTCGCTTCTTCACAGCAGCTGTCCGTCGCCGTCTCCCATGCCATGGGATCCTGATGAGGCTACCTTCGACAAAGTCCAGGGCAACCTCACTTCCCTACAGCTTCACTCAAAGCCAGCGGCATACAAGCTGAACGAGAACGAGATTGCCAGACTGTACGAACTCGTACCCACCAAGATGCTCGTCACTTCAGATGGCCTGCACCTTTTCGAGCAATTCAATACAGAGGCATCTCGTGAAGAACGCAAGGATTATAGAGGTCCCTATGGCGACTTCTACCAGGGCGTCAACCTTCCCAGTTTCGACGGCACAGGAGAATTCAGATGCTTCTGGATGCGTTTCTTGGAGAAAGCCAACCAGATCTGCATCAGCGATGGCGAGAAGCTCGACCTATTGCGATCCAGTGTTTCCGGTTATCTCATCGATAGCCTGTCGGCGTACGACATGTCAGCCAAGGGGTTGTTTGACGCAGTCATTCAGCTTTTTTGTGCTTACAACCAGACCGCCGATCGTCAATTGCAGGCGCTTACAACCATTCTTTATTCGCCACAAATCGATGAAGACTATACAGACCTGGACGCAACCTTTGGAAGACTTCACAGCGCAGCTCGGGAATTACAACAGACAACCGGAAACGACGTCCGCACAAAATACGACATTATCAAGAAGTTTCCACACGCTGTGAGCCAGTCCTTCCTGCTCAAACACCCAGAGGCACTCTCCACAACCCCGATTACAGAGATGGTGGAACAATTACAGGAACACACCAGAGGCTTCGCAACACAACGTCGAGTAGAACTTGTGGCTCTATACCGGTAACGGGGTCCTTAAAAAAAATAAGGGTCCTTAAAAAAAAAGGCTTAAAAAATAAGGGTCCTTAGAATTTCAGGTTAAGGACCCCTGTCCCGACAGGGGTCCTTTTAAGGAGCCCGATTCCGGCAACTCCCGAAAATACAGTAATTTCGCCGTTTTCGCGCAGACGCGGATTCGCGACAGATTGTCCTTTGTTTCGCATTTTGAATTACACCCAGTTTGTGCCTAAAAATAAGGCTTCGTGCCACCCGGGGCCTAGTCGCTTCGGATGGGTGCGAGCTCGTACAGGGTTTCGAAATGGGGGCGCCAAGGCCGGCGAAGCGGTCGCGTAATTTAAATAGCTAAACGAGGCATAATCTGTGCAAAAACGGCGAAAATACTGTATTTTCGGGAGTTGCCGGAATCGGGGTCCTTAAAAATAGCATCTATTTTAAGGACCCCTGTCGGGACAGGGGTCCTTAACCTGAAATTCTAAGGACCCTTATTTTTTTTAAGGACCCTTATTTTTATTAAGGACCCTTATTTTTTTTAAGGACCCTTATTTTTTTTAAGGACCCCGTTACCGGTATAGAACCGAACTTGTTTTCTATGACGCCCAGGCACAGAACACAATCTGCCCTTTCTGTCAAGAAAAGGGACATCGACCCAGCCTTTGCGTCAAGCTGAACGGCAATCAAGACCAGTGGCAACGTGTCGTTTCTCAACAGAGGTGCCATATTTGCCTGGAAAGCGATCACAACCAGTCCCGTTGCAACGGCGTCAAATGCTGCAAATGTGGGGGCAACCACCACACAGTTTTCCACAAAATGTTCGATGTATGGACGCCAAAAGAACCTACACGCTTCCAGCCGCGTCCATCTAAGCACGTATACTCAACACGCCGCGACAATCATCGAGATCGCCTTCCAGACAACAACACAAGCTCTCATGGCCCTTCCAGACACCACTTTTCTCCAAACATCGCCAACACGGATTCCATCAACAGCCAGTCCTTCGATGACGATCAACTTTCCCCAGACTCTTCACCAGAAGAAGATGAAGACGGACAACTCCATCAGACCGAGGATGAGTTCTCCGACCAGGACAGCGAAGAAGAGGAGCAAGCTAACGGAGACGACTTCGACGAGCCAGAGCAAGTGAACTCGGTTCAAGATTTCTTCGTGGCTTCC